GAGGCATAATAAGCATGAAGCCAATCCATATCTAGAATAACATCAAAGTCCACCATATCTAAATCGACTAAGTCAGCCATGGTGTCCTCATGATTTAAAGAAATGGTACAATCACGATAAACTCTCTCATCTAAAATAGACTCACCAATAGGTGTGGAAACACTGAAGGGCTCAAAAAGTTTCTAGGGAGGAATATCAGAATTCATAGCAATGTATGGAGTCACAAAATATAGGCTCGCACCTGGATCTAGCAATGGATATACATCAAAAGTAAAGACTTTGATCATACCAGTGACAACATCAGGTGAATTCTCTTGCTCTTGGCGACTGGTAATAGAATACATATGGTTTGCTCCTCCGTATGTCCCTGAAGTAGATCCTCTACGTGCAACTTTGTCTGGCGGATCCACTGAAGAAGATTGGGCTCTATTACCCCCATTACCATTTTCATGCCTATTCTTAGGGCACTCTCTCATTAAGTGACCTGTTTGACCACAGTTGAAGCAACCAGTGAAGCCATCACGACACACTCCTGGGCGGTTCCTACCACACTTAGCACATGCAGCGGTCTAATTACCTCATTGTGCCACACTACCTTGAGACTGTGCAGGTCTAGCTCTGAAGTTCTGAGAATTCTGATTCTTAAACTTACCTCTATTCTTGGGTACAAGTACATTAGCAGATGATGGAGCAGGTCCAGTTGGCCTTTGTTGAAAAGTTGACCGGTTTGCATTACCCTTTTGTTGTCCAGACTCATTACCCTCCTATAGTGATACTAAGTAATAAGAGAAAGTCTACGGTATTGAGTACTAATTGTATTTGAATTCACTTTTGAGTGTTAGTGTTTACTGAATCCCTAGCTAAAACATCAAATTATGTGTGAAAAAGGTATTTCTTTGTGGTAAGGCCACAAGTTATATTGTTGAAGAATCGGTATCTTGGTTATTATTGTTTGTGTATGTGATGATGTATGTTGGTATGTCTATGTCATGTTTTGATCTGCATGGGTTAGCTTGTAGTCTAAATGAAAAGATTTGCACTGTGCTGAAAAGAGTTAAAGAGGGTAATTGATGAAAAATGTCATGTGATTGCTTGAGTTTGTTTGTTGCTTCTGCATAAATGTTGTTTAAAGTTTGTTGTGTCGCTTGAGGACAAGCAACAATTTTAAGTTGGGGGTGTTGATGTATCATGAGTTTACGGTATTTTGATGTATTATACTTGAATTTTTGTGTGAGTCTTAGGCATTTTGTTATTAGATGTGATGACATTTTGATCTAATTTTGCAGGAAATAGGTTTGGAGAAAATATAGTTGAAACTAACTGAAGCAGCAGGAAATTGGCAATAGACGAGCCCATCTACGGACCGTCATTCAATTGACGAGTCGTAGGTGGAGGCGTGGATGAAGTATTCAAGGAAGTCTGACTTAGTGTAAGACCACGGAAGCTACTAATGGGTCGTCGATGACTTTAGAGAGATGAGTTCCAGTACTTGAACCACGAGTGTAAAGGAAAGACTGTTCCTAGACCTACCGACCGTAGGTTATGACCTTAGATTGACATCTACATAATTTGGCCAATTGTTGAGCAATAGTGGAAGACCACGGGCCGTAGTTCACTTGATGGACCGTAGGTGGCCAGCCGTCGATGAATTTGCCCATATCGGAATTTCCTAGATTTCCTTTTCCTACTTGGTTTAGGATTTAGTTTCTATAAATATTAGTTGTATTTTTCATTTTTGGGTTCTTAGACTTTTTGGGATACTTTGGAATTTTTTTGCGAACACTTTCATCATTTAATTCTTAAAGTTGGTTTATGCAATTTGCGTTTGTTCTTCAAGTCAAGATTTTAGATTTAATCTATTAATCTAATTTTAAGTCTATGATTTATATTTAAAACCCTAATATGAATTGTGATTATTCAAGCATGAATAGCTAAATCCACAACTAGGATTGTGGGAACCATTCGCAATTAACAACTTAAAACTAATAATTAAGTAATTCTTGAATAGTGTTTATGCATGTATTGTTAATCCTTTCCTTTTGAATGTTTTTTAACTATTCGCGAAGTTAGAAATCGCCTCATTCCTACTTTTCGGACCAAAGAAGTAATGAATGACAAAGGGATTGAACAACGGAGATTTAGCGTGATAATCCGTCATCTAGTAGCCTGACCCACCTACCACGAGGGCTAATCTGGGGTTAAGGGTAATGGTTAGTAAAGGATACACCTATAGATGGACCAAGTTGCATGGTAAAATTTCCTACTTGGAGGACCAATCACTTAGGAGATACATAACTTACCAACCTTGCATGTTAACACTACGATAGAGTTACTCTTATTAGGAATATTGTGTTAAGAGTTTGTGGGGAACACATATGCCCTAGTTCTCATCTCATATTGATATTTCAAGCTGCAAATCATGTTTACTTGTTACTAATTATTGCTACAATCAACAAACTATTACTTTAATTACAAATTCCCCCCTTTTCCTTTTTTACGGAAGTAATTTGACGAAAAGTATAAATAACCATAAATTAGTCTAAGTCTAGACCATATTCCTCGTGGGATCGACCCTAACTTAAAATTAGGTTCTTTATTTGACAATGACCGCTTATACTTCTTTAGGGAGGTGTAATTTGGGCGTATCAAATATAGGTACAATTATATCCCACGAGGGCTACATAGTTTATCGGGAAGGTGACTTGTCAGAACTCTTTCTCACATCGATGCTCATTACTACTCCACAATATATAACTCAATGTCCAAGTAAAAATACCCTCTCTAGGTTGAGAAAAGTTCTCAAAAGGGGCTCTTTAAGAGGTAGCAACTCTGTACTCAATTTCTTGTAAACTCTTAAAACTCTTTATACTTTTCTCAAAATAGTACTCTCTTTCCTCATGTAAAAATGAAACATTTGAGAATCATATAGTCCCCTTAACTTTAACTCAAAGATTATGTTTTAAAAGTTCTCTTTGAACTCGCTTTTAACTCCTCAAAAATCAATTTATGACAAAAGATACTTGTTCAAAAGACTCTTAATCAAAACTCAAAAATCAGGGTTCATGTGAATATAAGCATGAACATCAACTCAAGGATCACAATATATAATATATATAGTTACTCATGATCAAGGATTTAGAACTCAAACTCAACGACATAACTTATATCAAGAATCCGTGAAAACGAAGGGTATAACCCTAGAATAAACTTTTACTAATTGAATTGAGTCTAGGACGTGAGGACGAACTAGTCTGACACTATGATTAACCTTACATACATGGAAGAACGAAGTTCTTGACGAAACTAATGAATTAGCTTGGAACCCTACTTTTTCCTTTTGGATCCTTGTTCTAAGACTTGAAAGTGTTAATGGACGTAAATGAATTAATTAACACTGCCTAAACCCTTAATTAGGTGTAAAAACGTTAACGTTTAGGCTTACAAAGGGTGGGAAAACATTAAAATACCCTTAATTAACATTGTCGGGAGTGATGAACGGTTATGACCTACGGAGCGTAGAACTTCCTACGGACAGTATTGGTCAACCGTAGATCAAGTTACTAGGGCTCAGATTTTAACCCACTTTCCACAACACCATTTCTACGGGCTGTCAAACTTCCTACAGTCCGTAGACACTTTCTGTAGAACTCAAGTTCAAGCCCAAAAATCTCACTAAGTCTGGATCAAACCTACGGGCACTCCCTACAGCCTGTTGACTTCTTTACGACCCATAGGTCCTCTCGTAAGTCTAAAGTTTGTATCAATTTTTCTTTCTAAGTCTGGAACCCTTCTCCGGACACTTCCTACGTCCCATAGAGCTTTCTACAACCCTTCTCCTTTTCTTTTCTCCATTTCTTTTAGGAAAAATTATGCATAATGTCAGTCCATAAACTTTACTTATCATCTCCTCCTCCTCCGTCTCCGCCTCCCCCTCCTAAATTGTTATATGGGATGGCTTAGGGGAGGTTTTGTGTTAGTGAGAATTAGATAGTGTATACTTCATGTATAGTTACACTATATTCAATTTTTTTAGTGTATCATAATGTATATTCAATGTATAGCCCATGCGTAGGTAATTATATTTAGTTTTTTGAATGTATCATAATATATATTCAGTATTACTTTATGTGACTTTTGGCTAAAAACATGATTATATTTTTTATAAACTAATTACTTAATTGTGTATATTTGAAACTAGCACTTTTTTTCTTCCCTTCAACTTCTGTAAAGTTCCTCATATGTAGCTACCACCATTTTAATAACCACCGATTCCACCATATCACTACCAAATGGTTTGGGAAACCACCAACAATTATTATTATTTGTAAATCAAACAATTAAAATCTAAAAAAATAAAATCACCACAAAACCAAAATCTAAAATTTTTAATCACCACATTTTTCTCATATGATGTATGAAATCAAATTATGATTACATCTCATGTTGCATGTTTTTATATTTTTTTTTCTCTAGAAATCAAAGATGGAAGTGGGAACGGGAAAAGGGAGCTTCATCTTTTACCAAGTGGACCTTTATCTTTTACCAAGTGGAGTTCTTTCTTGTTACAAATATACTTATTCATAAAAAGATACAAGGAAAAAGAAAAGAGAAAGAGTAAACAAAGCATATATTTAGTCTTGTGATGTTACCTTATAAGTAACAATCATAGATCTTTTTGTCGATTTTACGTCAGTCACTTGCTATCTATAAAGTGTACCTTGTTATTTGCACATAGAAGTGTTTCATACATGCTGTTCAATGTTTAACTACAGTGTACACAGTATCGTATATCTAACTTAATGTAAAATATGGGTTCAAAATCGAATATTTATTGAAATTTTAGATATTTTTCGAACATATATCTATGCCCAAACTGTTTCAAAAATTTAGGTTAACTTGAATTCATATCTTCTTAACTACTCCACTGCTGATAGGTGTATTCTGTTTATCTTAAGTTGACAACCGCAAAGACACAGTAGAACTTCTGCTTCACCACATACCTCACAAGCACAATTTCACTACATAGCCCATATGTTCACTGCATCAACCTATGAAATGAGGAGATAACTTAAAGCATCCATATGATATGCAATTTTTTTACATACATGGTTGTTTGGGAAAGAGTGATGGAGATGGGATTCCAAGTCGATCAAAGATAGATTGGGAAAGAATCTATTTTGATGAATTCTGCAGCTTCGGGAAAATTGCATCAACATGGATATGATACATTGGATCAGCAAGCCAAAGTCTAGCTATGTAATGATGAGATGATGTAGACCTGTGAACTTCTTCAATAAGCCAGATGGTTGCTTCAGCTTTGCTAGGATCAATGATGGTATCTAATGGAACGTCTTCATTATCACTACCAAACCTCATTGAATCCAACTTCTTCATGTGGACATTGGTCAGGTAATGTAGGGGTTGCCCATATAACTCCTTCATGGATGAAGCCAATCCAACCCATGAGGTGAGAGGGATAACAAAGCCACGCTGTGTGGGAAGAGGGACCACCTTCATGTACTCTTGGTACATTCTTGCTCTTCTTAGGATTGAATCTGCAATAGAGAGAGTGTAAGACTAGTGATATGAATTAAGTAAAGATACATCATAACCTTGCACTGTAGTCACTCATGTGTCAATTAGTTTGAACCAAGACCTGAACATAAAATCTTTGAAACAATATCCGTACTCACAAAACAAAAAAGTAACTCATTTGAGAATCAATACTATCATCTAAGAGACCTCTCAGACTTGTGCTTTGACATCAGAAAGGAGATGTTTTAATTGAACTGAACAGAGATTTGTGCATGAGAATTTTCCTTGGGACATCCAGCTTCTATTAAATGAAAGCTGCTTCTAGCCAGAGATTGTCGGTCAATTGGTACAGATCACAAGAAAGCAAATTAGATATACACCTTATCTTCCTAATTTGACAAGGCTAAAAAATTGACATGGATGGGTATCTACTAAACTTTCCCATCTAATTTTCTCATTTTTGACTAACCACACCAAAATAAATACGTACGCCTCCTCTTTTGCTTCCCCTCTCCACCAGCCCTTCTTCTTCTCATCTCAACTGAAACTCAATTGTTGTTAGGCGATAGAGTTTCTTGATGCAAAGTAGCCTCTTTTCTTCTTATAAGTAGTAACATTTTCTTCTTCTGATAGGTTTTCTTGAATCAAAGTATACTAATTGTCTCATGATCTATTTAATGGAGAAGAAAAACAAAAGCAATACAAGCAAGCATCTAACAGTTGTCCAGATGCAGCATTTGCATTTTATGAGAATCTCCTAATTCTAAAATTATCTGTACTTTGTTATTACCATTTTCAAGGTTGCAAAAAACTTGTTTGAAAGAAGAGAATAAGTTATTCAGCATTTTCAGCCCGAAATGAAGTTAATGCTCCATTGTTCTTAAAACTCATACAGATCCAAAATCAAGTTCTCTTAATACTCATACAGATCCAAAATCAAGAATGAACAAACAGAAAATCTATGTGCATTTGCAATTGGAAGCAAAATGATGAAATAAGAGATGTGAAAACTAAGAGGAGCTTAAATGTCCTTTTGCATTCTCTTTGTGCACACTCAAAGAGCAGCCTTTCTGGTAGCTGGTGGTTGTGTTCTGGACATAAGCTGGAGAAAAAGGGAAAGAGACCAGATGGGAGAGGTCAACCTACAGGATAGACAAGAAAACTAGGATCTCTGATGATGTAGGTACTTCAATTAATATGCAGTCAAGAATATCTTGTTGCACCACAAAAAAAAGAAGATAAAGGCTAACTGCCTCTATCAAAAAGCTATTAGTCAAAAAATGTGCTTTCCCACTTCCCTAAGTTTTCAATGTTTGATGAATTATAGACAGACTTTTCAGCTGGTTATTGGCTCTGGAAGTGGCTGTAATGGTGTTCCAGGAGTTGATGCACTACCATTGGCTTGCTTTGGGGTTGGGCAAGACATGTCAAGCTGGGTAGGAGAGAAATACCCTATAGGATAAGATGTTAAAATTGCTACAAGAAATTGAAAAAGAAGCAAATGGGTTAGGGAAAAAGAGATAGATGATCTCAGAGAGGGGAAGCAAAGGAGTTTGGGTGTTAACAAGGACGGGGGACTCTAATACCATTCAATTCTCAAATCCATTCTCGAAGGAGAGGTTTGGGTATTGGGTGGTGTCGAGACTCGAGAGCCATAGAGGAGTTTCCGGAGTTCATTGATAACCACCACCTTTTTGGTTTGCATGTGACCGGTACCTCTTTTACTTGGTCCAGGTCAGAGGATTCAACTTTTAGATCAAGAATAAACAGATTCCTTGTGTCTACTTCGGCAATCCTAGAGCTTCCAGGAATGGAGATCCTGGAGCTCATGAATTTGAATGTTGATGCCTGTGTCCCTTTTGTTTCCCATTCGTGCTCTACATCACTAGAAGAGGTGTCATGATGTACAGTTCCGGGGATTGGTATGTTCTTCACTCTCCCTGAAGCATTTATGAATCTGGTGATTTTCTGGTCTACATCCGACCATCCAGCATTAAATGTCAATAATTACGGCTTGACTACCCCCTTATATTGCAATAAAACTGATGTACCTTCCATATTCATTGCTTTAAAGAGTGCAGAAAAAATCACCAAAATGGTCCTTTTTTTTTACCCCTCCCTAGGAACTCCCACCCCTTTTGCTCCCTCGGTGACTTGAACCCACAATCTTAGGGTTGGAGGTGAAGGGTGTTTATCATCCTAGCAACCCCCTCTTGTCACACGAAATGGTCCCTTATTTTCCATATTCTGACTGTCAACGGTTGTTCCTTGGATGATGTATTAATTACATCACCAACCCACTGCATAACTTTAAGGCTTAAAATTACTCGCCTCTATGAATTTTTGTTGTGTTTGATCCTATCTTGCTCGGACTCTTCCAAAATGTTGACGGGTGCGTGTCGGATCCTCCAAAAATAGTGGAACTTTGAAGGATCCGACACAGGTCCGGCATCATTTTCGGAGAGTCCGAGCAACTTAGGTTTGACCCATTCGAACAACGTTCTGATTTTCGAGAAAGACTTTGTGATATCAAAAGAATCAAAACTGGCATGTAATCAGTCGTACTTCCCCATGTTGTAAAAAAACCTTAAGTTTCTAAGCAGTCACTAGAAAATGATTGAAGAGAAACAGTGCTTGACACTGTGAAAATCCACTAAAAAGAACTAAAACTGACTGGAAAGATGAAAGGAGGTGGCTGAAAACTATCACAGAAGGTATATGAGCATGGCAGCATAGTTCCAAGAAGAAAAAAAGCAATTATCCCCCTTTTAGATTTTATTAGCCCTCTTACTCTGGATCAGCAGCAAACTTTTATACTTTTGGTTAGATTCCTGTTTTTCTGTATAAGGGATTAACCAAGTTTATCTTCTACTTGTATTGCATCTTCTTGATACCATTAATGCAACACCTTACATCATCAAAGGAAATAATGGAAGTTCAGCTTTTGCGCATATTCTAACCATAGACAATACAATTTTTTAGGACGGAAAATCAAACTGTTTACAAAGTATGTTTCAAATCACTTCTATTGGGATGCTCTTAGCTTACATTAAACAAGTGGAACCAAAGAGCTATTAGATGATATATGTTAGCATAAAAGCTTCATATTAAAAAGATCCAGCATGTTTGAACTTCATTACAGAATGCCATAACACCAAAGACTGTAAGACAAACTGCGGGAAAGATGTAAGATGGAATTAACAAATTCGTTCTAGGCAACATTCTACCAATCTTTACTTATGCATGAGCTGCTTACTAATGCAACTTTCGGCAATCAACAGTTTGATGTGATAAATCTTGACCAGATAGTTAAATTCCTAGGTCCATCCATGATTCCCAAGCTTCCATATTAAAGGAGGATACAACATTATGCTAACAGTCCAATAAGATCCTCAGGTACTGAGGATAAACATAAAAATTATCTACCTACACAATAAATCCCAAACTTAATAAAGAGAAGATTTTTTGTCTTTTTATTTGGCAGTAACAAAGCAACACAAGTCTGTTTCCACATATGCAGACACTTTTTCAGCAAGTAGATTGAGAGAATCACTAGACAATCACAATTATGTGAATTATGACACTAACCTTCAGAATCCCATTCGCTAACAGGTTGATCGACGGTGATAGTATTTTTCATCCATTTGCTTTCCGTTTTACGGTCATCTGTATTAGAGGAGGATGAGTCACCCGATGATATCTCTACCTGGTCACCAAATGACACTGCTCCCTTCATAACTGTAACTGTGTAGAGAAAAAGAAAAGCAAAAAAAACATATTAGCAGCTTATACAAATGAAAAACTTTGATGAAACTATATTAATTTTAATTTCTATAGACGGCTTCTACACATAACAACAACCTGATTGTCAAGTTTAATACACAAACACTTAAATTCATCTCAAATAGCAGATTCAACGATATGCATGTGTGCGTACAATACAATCTACCTCCCCTCAAGGGCGGCTCAACCCTAAACCACTGCTTTAAGACCCAAAAAATTACAAATCCTCTAAAGAACAAAAAAAAAAAACCCAAATTCAGTTCGAAAAAACAGCTCAAATACGAAAACATATACATACCTCCAAAGATACACACACAAAAAAAAAAGATATAAAATCGACCAAGAGGCAAGATTACACGAAGAACCAAATGCACTGAGCAGACAACGATGAAGGAGATACATACCTAAAAAGAGACTACCAGATCTGATGAAGGTGATGTAAAATGGAGTGTTTTAATTGTGAGAAGCAGCGTATTAAATACAATAAATTAATACTCGGTTAATTAATATTGGTAAATTAATAATTTCTTTAAAATAATATTTTTCTCAGTCACGACTTTGATCAATGAAAAAAATCATCAATTTCAATTTCAATAAAATAATATATTTCCAGAATATCCCTATATAAATATATGGTTCCATTAATATCATAAATTAATAATTCTTTAAAAGTACAAATATATTTAAGACAATTTAGTAAAATATGATTCTATGGTGTAAAGTTTTCTTTTAAAAAATTTAAATCTAGTTTAAGCTCATCTCTAACTTTTTTTTAGTGCATCCAAGAGCTCCGGTGTTGTATTTTCGAACTGCACCATAAAATTGTGAAAAGTTTTAGATGCGATAAGTGCTTCCTTACGCATAACTGGTTTCAAAGGTATAGTATCATCTTCAACTTCATCATCAACATTATTTTTTCGATGGTATTCACAATGTCTTCTAAGCTCTGGACCTTTGAACATGTATCACTTTCACCCGGATAATCCAACAGGTTATTGACATCCATTTTATTATGGTAATCGAGATCACTAATCATGACCTCAAGTTCATGAATGACGTTTTCACAAGTGGGTTCATTCAAATTCTTTGATATTGCATCCCCCGAACAAATTTTGCACTGTAAAAAACAATTTGCTATTGTCTCTTGCTAAGCAATTGTTGTTCAAGCAGGGATTGCAAAATTGATAGCATCCAAAACATTTGTTGAATCAGTTTGTCCCACTTCATAGCCTTCTAATATCCTACGATAAAATTTATCTTGAAAGTTCTTATTATCCCATCATCACAAGGTTGAATTTTGGATGTCATGTTGGGTGGCAAGAAAAACAATTCAACATTTTGTAGTCCTTCAATATTTCTATTATGGGTTGGACAATTATCTACCATAAGCAAAACTCGTCTACCAAGCATTTTGTGGTCAAACTAACGAATATATTCATCAATATGCACATTTGTCATCCATACTCTTTTGTTTGCACGATAGTGACAATTCAAGTTGTTCATGTTGACATTTTTGAAGTAACATGGCTTTGCATATTTTCCAATAATCTATAAAGGATTTTTTCAGATCCATCTTCATTGCAACAAAAACAATTGTGAGCCTTTCTTTGTCCTACTTTCTTTCTTCAAGTTGTTTCGTAGCAAGAGAATGAACAACTTGTAACTTGTAAAATAAACCAGTTTCATCCATATTAAAATCATCTTTCATAAGAAATTGATCTATTTTTTTATCTTATGGATTCCAATTTTGTCTCCATGTCTTGTATATCAATTAAACCACTCTCTCTGAAACGATGAAATGACTTGATACCATGTCTTAGCTTGAATTTTTCAAGCCAACCTAGAGATAATTTGTGGTTAAAATTTTGTTGAGGATATATGTCACGACCCAGACCGTCGTGATTGACATCCACATTAACCCTCCGATGGGAGACCCATTACTATAACCCAAACCAAACAACTTAACCAAAAACTACACAACTAGATCAAAACTACGGCATTTAAAGTTGCAGAAGCAAGTTTAAATGACAATAAAAATGGAGTCCCCATAAACTCTAAAGGTTTTAACAAATAACTAACCAAACTAATATGTAAATTCAACCCTTAGAACCTGAAAGTCATTGTACCAAAACTCTACAAACGACAAATCTAAGAACAAAGGGTACAACCCCGAAACTAAACAAACACCTTAACAAATAGTCTGAGTTCGGAAAGAGTGGACTTAAACAAGAAAGATCCATGGCAGCCTGAAAGAACTGGCTCACCCTGAATCCGATAACGCTTAATAGTCACCTAGCTGAGGTCTATCAATAGCTGCCTGAAAATGCCCTGTACTCAACAAAGAACAAGCAAGTGCAGTATCAGTACACAACCACAATATACTGGTAAGATCACGTGACTATTCCAATAAGCACAATATATATCATAATTACAACAAGGTAAACACATACATGCAAAGAATATATATATACACATCGATTATCATTTCAAGAGCAATGCATGATTCCACATTCTCAAGATATACAATTAAGTAACAATTAATGGTTCTCTCATGGAACCCAATCTAATGGTCCTCTCATGGAACCCATACCCAAACTGTTAGCGTACCGGTACGTGGTACCCGATCTAATGTTTATCCGGAACGTGGCAATCGATCCCATGTTTATGTCGGAACATGGCAATCGATCCTAGTTAGTGTGTCGGATCATGACACTCGCCCATTCAACAAACCAAAATCACAATCACAATGTCTATTCTCACAATCATACAACTAGATGTGATTCATGGCATGTAGTTCTTTGTTCATACTTATTTACATTAGGTGTGATCAATAGGCTTCATTCACATACATGCATGCATTACAATGAATCAATTACTAACATACATCACGCAAAACATCAAATCACAACTATCACCTACCTCGAATCCAAGCTTGAATCCCCCAAGACACTTGAATCTTTCCTTTCCGGATTCATTCCGCTTGTTCTAGGTCTACAAACAACAATTTATACGCAAAGATCAATAATCAGAGGTCTAATTATCTGGATTACAACAAACTCAATAACCCTAGACCAAATCCATGATCCCCATACCCATATTAGGGCTTTTTCAACCATAATTCCCAGATCAAAGCCCTCCCCCATCGATAATTACCCAAGAAACTAAGTTCTACGGATCGAAATATGGATTCAGGGAGTAAAAGCCTTACCTTTAGCATCAAGAATGGTGAAAAAACGTCAAGAACACACCTAGGGTCGGTCCTTAGCTCTCAAAGTCGAAAAGTGCAGAATAAAACATTTTTGGAATTTATTTCTGACTTAAGTCGTGTTTGTCCCACTACAGCGAAACCCATCCTGCTACAGTGGCCCCGCTACAATGACAACCATCTCACTACGACTGCATGCACGGAGACAAAATGTTGAAATTTGAATTCCAAGCCCCCATTTCACAACACACCTTCAACCCTTGACCTTAAAAAATCACTTATTCACGCTAAGATCATTTTCAGGAGTTCTACTCGTCCAAATTCGATTCTGTAAAGTCTTACGGGTTTCTTAACGTCTTAACTATCCATTCATGTAATCAAATTCATAATTAGATCTCTCATTCGTTACCAGATTACCCTAGACCTTACTGACTCCGATTTCGTCCAAATCTGGACTAGGTTAGGAAATTCCAAGTTACTACCAAAAAGTTTTCTGACCCTAATTTTTTTTCCATTGACTTTTCCCTAACGACGAAATCAGGTCGTTACAATAGATACCAATTTACCCATTACTCTTTCCCGAGTGATCAACTAGGGAAGACTGGCTAAAGTAAGGATAGAGTAGTATTTGAATCGCTGAACAACAGGGGGTACTTGTCTCGCATGCCCTTAGCTTACGGACATCGCGATCAAGAATTTTAACCGGTTCTTCTTTCTACAGAAGGTCTTGTCTAACACAACTGAGTCTCACTTTATGATATAATCTTCGTCCCCAAACCAACCAATTGAATACCTGCACATCCTTCCATACAATGACTCAATGAAGTCATCACAATACTCGAGTGATAATTAATGTTGTATGTGCACTTAACTAACAACAAAGGTATTCCCTATAACCACCAAAGTTGATTGTTCATATGTCTGCAACATGGTATCAAGGACTTTGACACAACATCAGGACGAATCTTTTCTCACATAACCATGATAAAATCCTAAGTCCAAACTCGCCACAATTAGAGGGTGAACCGGAACCAACCAACACAAACAATCATAGTTCTTATCAACATCTCCATTTCACAACCCATATTCCCATGAGCTTAAGTTATAACAATTTGATCTTTAGACATCAGATACTCATCGAGAGATATGTCCAAGCATACCAACCCTCTAACAACACTATCGAAATGTTAGATTTAGTAATTCTGATTGGAGATTACCCTTAAGAACAATAGAATTGGACCCAATGAACCCCACATTCAACCACACATAATCGATACATGACCTCGACGACAAGATGAATATTAAGATTGTTGGACGACCATAAATACGCATGGTAGCTCTTCTATAAATTCGCATAAGCAAGTGGTACAAGTAGAACCACTAAAATACTTTAACAACTCCAAAACAACACCAAATATGTCATATGAAATAACCAAGTCATCCCAATCATCTTACTCAACCAAGAGAACATCGCAGGATCAGTACACCTGATCCACCACTAGGGATCCACCCACACAAGTGAAAACACACGTGAGCATAGCTAGTGCATCATATTCACAACCATCATGAGCACTCCGACCATTTTCCTTACTCTAAACCAACACTTTTAAATGAAAATCTTTCTTAGGTACTTAAGAATCAACAGTAATAAACTTTACGACTTAATATAGGGGTAAGTCCTTTTTAATGGTTAATACCAGATACAGTTGATCGTCTCTCACATTACCAATTCATACCTTGACAAAATATATCACCACAAATGTAGACTTATAATGAAAACTCTGAATTGTAAATTCAACTGTATAACACAATCCCCTTATCTATCAACATTAGCTTGTACCTTGAGGATTTTTATGAATTCATGGATCTTTGCTTATCATTATTGCAATCATACTCATTACTAAACTCAAAAACAAAACCAAGCACTTATCATCACACTCGAGCTAATGCCTGTTCATTCATTTCTCAAGTCTTTTCCAATAGTTTTTAACCAATCTGACA